CACCCACTATGTGTCAGGCACTGTGTTAAGTGCTTTACAAATATTATCTCATTTGATCCTCACAACAACCATGGAAAGTAGGTGCTATTGCCATCCCTGTTTTACAATTTAGGAAACTGAGGGAAACAGAGGTTAAATGACTTGCCCAAGGTCATACAGCTTGTAAGTGTCTGAGGCTGAATTTGAACTCAGGTCTTCCTAACTCCAGGCATAGTGTTCTATCCACTGCACCACCTGGCTGCATCTGAAGCAAGCAAAAAAGATCTGAGTTCAAATCCTGTCTCACATGCTTAATAGCTATGTGGCCTTATGAAAAAACCGCCTAATATTTTTGTCTCTTTCAGCTTTCTAATCTGTAAAATGGGGATAATAAAAACATCTACCTTGTAGGGATGGCGTGAGGATCAAATGAAAATATACATACACACACCCACACATACATATAACATGTTATATATAGCATGTTTTATAACAAGTTTTTATATACACGTGTATATATGTGTCACACATACACACACACAAACACTTTATAAACCTTAAAGCATTACTTGTTAATGTTAACAATTGTTATTACATAAATAAAACCTTTTCTTGTGTTGGAAAAAGCAAATATTTCTAAAACCTTAAAGTCTCACCCCCTCCACCCTAACCTTTACTACATCACGCAATAAATAATACATCCAATCACTCATACAACTGGCTAGTTGGAAGACGTAGCCTGTGAATCAGCCATCAATTCATTCTTTCCTTCCTCTCCTTAGCTATGAGGTGTTCCTGTAACATTCTTCCTGCCTTGTCCTCCCCCCTACCCCCGACTTGGGTTTATGAGGTTATTTAACTCTGAGAACTTGAACTTTCACATTTCCTGATTCTGAAGAACAAAATATTGGCAGAACTGAGGTAAAACCCTGAAGTCTTAATGTTATGTCATCAGGGGTTTCTGCATTTTAAGTTGCTGGAAAGACTTGGGGAAATGATTGGGGACTAAGGCAAAGACACAGACTTAAACGACCTTTAGATAATTAATCACCCTCCCCTGGCAGTAAATAACAGCTGAAGAACCAAGAAAAAGCAGCTAAAATACAACATTAAACAAATATTCAAAGGTCAAATTATGTTGCACCCAGTCTAATAACAATCTCCTTTGGCCTAAGGTTTGCTGGAATTCTGGGAGATGAAAAAGAGTTCAGGACAAAAGAAACAAGGGGACTATCAGATGACATTCAAAGCTGAAAATCCTTACTTCTTCATCTCATTCCAATTTGAAAGCAGAAAGAGTAAGAGCCTTTGACATTTCATTTGAGATTGGGATTGAAGAGACTGATAATGTGACAATGATGAAGAAAAATGAAGTCAGACCAAGGAATAGATGTCAACATGTCTATTGCATTTCTAATCATTAGAAAGGTTATGCTGCTTCTTTGTCAAACACTTATGTGAAAGTTATTTATCGGCTTTTATAAATATGCCTTTAATGTGTTTGTCATTATATGTACTGCCAATGTTGTCTGGATTATGCTAGTAATTACCAAGTGAACCAACGTATTCATTCCATAGATTCAGAGTCAACTGAGGACTACTGATCCATTATCAGCAGCTACCTGGTACAATGGATAGAGTGATGGACTTGAGATTCAGAAAGACCTAACTTCAAATCCTGACTAGATCTGGGAAAGTCACATAACCTCTCAGCCTCAGTTTCCTACTCTGTAAAATAGGAATGATAATAATAGTGCCTGCCTCATAGGGTTGTCATGAGAATCAAACGAGACTACAGTTGTAAAGTGCTCTCCAAATCTTAAAATATGATATAATGCCAGTTGTGATTAGCATTAGCATTATTAACTGAAAACATATAGATAGGTGTTATCCAATTGTTTCTGACTCTTTGTGACCTCATTTGGGATTTTCTTGGCAAAGATGCTGGAGTGCTTTGCCATTTCCTTCTCCAGCTCATTTTACAGATGAGGAAACAGGGGTTAAACGACTTTGCCTAGGGTCACAAAGCTAGTAAATATGCGAGGCAGAATTTTTTTTTAAAAAAATATACGATAAAATTTAATTTTCAAATGTAAACAACATTCTTAGCTCATGGGCCCTACAATGACAGGCAGGCCACATCTGGCCTACAGGCCGTAGTTGCTAACCCCTGACATAGACTATGAGAGTAAACACTTCCATAGGGTATTAAAAAAAATTCAGTGTATTTCATAAGCTATGTATTAACACTACCAGGCACATATATAGCAAAATAACAATAATAACAATGATAAACTGAATTAAACTGGACTACAGCAATGTAAATGAAAAGATCAGCAAAAGGAAAGGTGATCACCTGAAAAAATGAAAACAAACCAAAAAAATTGTCTCAGGCAGCAGATAATGAAACACAGCACCCCCACCACACACACACAGCCGAGGATGACTGGGACAGAATGTATACAATCAGAAGTGGTCATTCTATTGGATGTTTTGCTTCATTGTTTTTCTTTGCCACAAGGGAAGAATCAAAGGGGAGTTGGTCGGGGTGAAAGGCTGATGTCAAAAACAAAAACCTTCAATAAAATATGTTTTTTGTTTTCTTTTTTTGGTTTTGGTGAGGCAACTGGGGTTAAGTGGCTTGCCCACGGTCACACAGCTACTGAGTATTATGTGTCTGAGGCCACATTTGAACTCAGGTCCTCCTCACTCCAGGGCTGGTGCTCTATCCACTGCGCCACCTCAAGAAAACGTTTTAAAATGATTTCAATAACCTCTCTATAACAAGAAGAATGGAAATAGTGATAGAATGGTTGTCTTGTGCATTAAAGGCTACAGTGTGCGTGATTTCAATCTGATTACTAACGGCTTAAAAAATTCAAATTTTAACTAAGTGTCTTTTAATTTAACAAATGCATAATATGAAAAAACTACCTTTTCTCCATTAGCTAAATTATGTTCTTTCCTTCCTCCCCAACCGAAACAGAAGACTATCTGTTTACACAAGATTTCAAAGGAAAACAGTAAATCTTTTTGGTTGTACCAATCAGCTGTTGAGTTGTTCTCTGTGCACATGCTTCCTCCACATAAACCCTACCCCCATCAGTGCTGCTATAAAACACACCATCTACTACAACTTGAAACCCTAATGTGAACTCTCACCCATCCACCATGGTGGAATTACGCAGGAAGGCAGGCAATCAGATACAGCGTGACCCGTTTAGATCACTGGTGAGTGGGTGATGTATGGACAGGAAAGGACTCACACCCAATAAAAGAACCATATAGGATTATCAGGCTTTGCATGTGCTTATGTTTCAGGAACATGATTTGACAAATAGTGCATCTGAACCCATGTAATAACAAACCAAATTCACACACTGGCCTTATGTGTTCATCGTCACTGAATGAATTGTCTCATATAAGTGAACTCTCCTAATGGCTAACACGGGCCCCCTCCTTCAAGGCTTGAAATTTTTTTTTAACCATTTTTGATCAAAATCTTTCTACAATGTATCACACACTCTTCTGCCTTATCATAACGTTCTGAACAGAACTTTACCTTTTTCTGCTGACACAGATGCATCATGATGAGTGCCAAATTGCCAAGATGTGAGATAGTAATGCCCTTAGTAGTTCCTGAGATGGCTGCCTGACCTTCTAAGGTTCAGGCCACTTTACAGATGGGGATTCTGCCAAAGATTGCACAATGAAAATCAGAGAAATAGATTTAGGTTCATGAGCATGGTAGAATCTCTTGAGATTAGAGAAATACTAGCTGGCTAAAAATAGCCACCAAAAACATCAGCCAGAACACTGCTATGATCTTCAGAGAAACCCAGAGCTCTACTTCCTTCCGTACACAGCATGCCCTTTCAACCACTTCTGTTTCTCAGCACAGCTAGTTACCAGGGAAGTTCTGAAAACCTGCCTCTCTTTCTTCCTTCTAAATCCAGGGCTTATGTGCATTGGGGATTATTACTCTTGATCAATGATTGGACTCTTCCCCCATGGCAGATGGTAGATAATGGGCCATCCTTCCTACCAAGAGTCAGTTAGGGGTGAAAATGAGCTGACGGGTCAAATTCTCCTACTTTCTCCTAACCTACCCATGCCTCCTCTCTGCCTACAATGCAATCCTAGTCACTTTTCTCTTAAAAAAAAAAGGGCACGCGCACGTGCGTGTGGGTGTGGGTGTGGGTGCGTGCGCGTATGTGTGTATTGATAGAACAGTATAGCCTAGTGAATAGAGGGCTGGCCTTGGCTAGGAACCATCCCAGCTATGTGACCCTGGGTAAGTCACTTACCTTTCTCAATGCTCTAGGCAATCTCTAAGACTAAAGAGAAGGTAATTGCTTGCACTGGTAAAGTTTCTTCATCCAGGAGATCCCTACAACCATCTTAGGTCTGATCCCTATCTCTATATATGTACATGTGTGTAGTGTACATACACACACACACACACACACACACACACACACACACACACACACACACACACACACACACACACTATGGCCAGCTTGGAGAGTCCATAAACTATTGTCCAATCTGTGGCCTCTCTATCCCAAAAGTTTCACTGAAAGAGTGAAATCAAAGTTGACTGACATGGAAGTATTTGATAATCTTCAGCAACCATTTGTATCTACAGTGAAACATAGAAACTAGAATATTAAAATTTGTATAACTGCTGTTGATACTATTAATATTTTAGATTCACATAATGATAATGATAACAACAGCAACAACAATAACCAACATTTATACAGCGCTTCATTTACAGATGAGGAAACTGAGGCAAAGAGAAGTTAAGTGACTTGCCCAGGGTCATACAGCTACTAAGTACCTGAGGCTGGATTTGAATTCAGGTCTTCTTGACTCCACTGGTGATGCTTTATCCACCTGCAACCTAAGAGTTTATCTGAATAATCTCTAAGATCCCCTTTGGCTTTACTAACCTGTAATTGCTTTGCAGTTATTTATTTAGTTTTTAATATCACAAAGTAGCAAGAAAAACTTACAAGTTCTGAGAGGGCGAATCAGCAGCAGGAATACACAGGTACTTAAGTCCCTGTAGAATAAAACACAATATTGTTACCCCGACTGTAAAACACACAGACACACAGACACAGACACACACACACACAATTTAAAGGAACCATTTACTCAGGTCAAATAAAAAAAAACAAACAGAAAAGAAGAAGTTTTTCATGAGCATTTTGTTGCCAAGAAACAAACCAAATTAGTACTTTTATTCATATTCCTGGTTATTTTCCATGACTATAAAAACAAATGCTCCTACGCCATCATGTAAACATTCAAAATGTTTTTTGTTGTTTTTTTGTTCTTTTCTTTTTTGCCAAATCCACACTCTGCACCAAAAAGCAAAATGCTGAGTGGTTTCCAATTAGGTTATCTAAGCCCTAGGTGCCACTTTGCATTGTGTCCATCCCATTTAGGATGCAAAATTACCAAAGAAAGGAAATGATTAGCAAAAAGCTTTGAGCCTTAAACTAAAGGGCTGTTGCTATGTTATACTGCTCTTTGCTAATGAGCATCACTTTTAACTGCTTCTACAATCAAAACTGCTTTTGCTTAATTTGTTAGCTTTTAAATATTTAGTTTTGCTTTTGGTACCAAATCAGTGATTCATTTAGAACTGTGCATTCTGAGGAAAAAGCCCCTTTGCTATTCCTGCTTCACTGTGATGCCCCTTTGAAGCCACACTGCACATCTCTGAGGGGAAGCAGGGACTACCCTGCTTCCTTCAGTGAGGTTTAAAGGAGTTCCTAAAATGAGTTCTGAACATGCAAAATAATACCTGAGTTGTCAAAGCCTCAGCTCCTATGGCTGTGCTCAGAAGACAGGACTTTTGGAAAAGTTGGCAAAGAGCCTTTAAAACCCTCAAAAGAAAAAACTACGCTGACTGATCCCTCAGACAGAACCGTGAGGCCTCCCACATTGTAACTTTTATGTTCTGTATTGTCTACAATCAAGAAGTGGAAAAAGTTATCATCATGAAGTTACTGAGATAACTCTGTGTGAATAAAGAAAATACAAATGAGGCCCAATGGTTCATGCCGTGGCCATGCTAACAGGTCTGGGAATGATTCCTGTCTCAGGAGAAAGAGGATGCTGTACTCTAAAGTCCTATGCCTCAAACATACAATGTTGAAAACCAGACATTCCAACAAGAAAGAGGCCAGTCCCCCATCCTTAGCATCAGGGAAGTCCAATCACTGCCTCATACAATGCCATTTCTCCGCGATATTTAATTAGCTTTTGAGGCACACGCCAGCACCAACTCACCCGTAAATCCTCAGGCCAGGGGCGGAGAACCTGTGGCCTCTAGGTCACATGTGGCCCTCTAGGTCCTCAAGTGGGGCAGGTTCTCCACACCTGCCTGATGGGACACTGTCCCATTAGGAATTCTGTGACACATTTTCCCCAGAGTATTCCTTCCAATCTGCTTCTCCCCAATTTTGAGAAATAAAGAAAAAATGTTCTCCCTGCACTTTCATCCTTCCTCATAGAGTATTTCTGGCTTTACAACAGCAAACAGCAGCCAGCAGAGGCTTCCTGGGGGGGGGGGGCGGTATGACATTTAGTTTCATAGGAAATGTGTGTCTGAAATTCCAATGTACCTCCAACCCTACAATGTGATAGTAGGACAGTGAACTAGCAGCCTCATTCTCCCAGACTCAAAATACTAAAGCCACAAACCTGAAACTTGAAAGGAAAGGAAATCTTGAATGAAAACTTTACCTTTTAAACATTTGTTTTCTCTCTCCCGTCTTCTCTCTTAGAAACATGCAGGCATACAGACAATGATACCTTCCCCTGGTTTTCACGAGAATGCCTCAATTAAAGGTATCTTGCTATAACTTGAATGGCAGGGTAACAGGAATAATCTAATTAAAAATACTTTATGCTTCAGTTTCTGCATTTGATTTAAACTTTCTGAGGAAAAAGGGGAAAGTTAATCAAGCAACTATAGAATGTCTTCTTGGCCAAAGACCTAACTCCCTGGATAGATGATACAACTCATTTTTACTGGAAAAAACTAGCCGAGTTACCAAGGTGGACAGAATTTGGAATCATTCTATTGGGGGTAACAATAGTAATAACTATTAGTCATAATGTAGTATTTTACTTTTCACCATTTCTATGAGGTAGGTAGTATATTATTACTCCATTATTATCTCCACTTCTCCATATGAAATACTATACACAACACTTAGGACTGCTAAAAATTAAGGTTGAAAAAACTCCCCTGTCCCCTGCTCCCCAGGACCTCTGGAGAAGTCCAGTTTACTCAGCTCATTTGTACCAAATGGACTACCTCCACAAGAAGCTGAGAAGGCTGTTATTACCTGTCACAAGAATCTGGCTATGAAGCCTGAAGATGTCTAATAAATAATATCTGGATAATTGTAACTGTACCCCTTCCCTGAATCCTGATAAAATCTAAAATTTGCCTTAATTTGGAGAGAAGAAGAGAAGAGGGAAAAGTTGAGGAGGAAAGGGACAGCTCAAAGAATCCTACTTAGGAACATTCATTGTGAAACATCGCAGTGAAGTGACAAGAATATGTAAGGAGGTTGGTTTCCTTTAGGTACTTTCAGTAGGAAAGAGGGTTGGGGTGGGGGAGAAAAAGACATCTGCATTGACAGCACCTGCCATACAAGAGGAATGTCTTATACTTGTTCAAGGTTTTTTTTTCTGTTTGCAAAGACTTTCTCAAAAATTATTTTATTTGCTCCTCATCACTCCTCTGAGATGGACAGGCCAGGTATTCTGATGCCCATTTTATGGCTGCGTAAATGAGAGTTTGAAGAGGGTAAGCCTGAAGTCACATAGCTAATAATCAACAACGCATTTATTAAGCACCTAGGTGTTGTGGACATAAATTTTTACAAATCAACTACTCTCAACAAGTTTCTATTCTATAGTAAGCAGCCTAGCTGGAACAAGAACCCCACACATTCTGAGTCTTCTTTCAATGCTTTCTGCCTTAAGGCAGGGAATACCGGGGTATCCATGTTTAATCACAACTGAATAGCCAAGATCAGGCTAGTAATAGGTGCTATCACACACCCCTCCACCTACAACTTTATGATATTTCAAGTGGTAATCTTGGGGAAGGTGGAATGTTGGAGTTTGAACCTATACCCTCTGTCAAAATGGAAGAGCCAGAATTCACCCAGTATCAGGCAAAGAATAGATATTCTGAGTAATATGCTCAGGGGACCCCGTCTTTCCTGTGCACAAATAGGACACATATAAGCGGCGCCCGTGGGAGGATTCACATAGGTACAAAACATAAATGAGAAGGGAGTCAAAACTACCTACATTTGAGTCACTGCTTATGGCCTAAGAATGCCCATTGAGCCCAGCTTAGTCATTAAATCAGAGCCTCCCAAAGTCAACCCCTTCAAGACTCCAGACTATACCAGCCCTGGTGTTACCGGGCAGGCGGAACAGTGGGGGAAGAGAAAGTCTACATTAGGGGCAGCTAGGCGGTGTGGTGGTTAGATCACCAGCCCTGGATTCAGGAGGACCTGAGTTCAAATCCGGCCTCAGACACATAACACTTATTAGCTGTGTGACCCTGGGCAAGTCACTTAACCCCACTGCCTAGACAAAAAAAAAAAAGAAAAACAAAGTCTACATTAGTTACTCATTTCTGAAATTTAGGACCCAGCAGTTAATGGCTAATTCAGAAAGGACAAACATAGAATACAGTAAAGATTCAGTTAATCTTGGTATGAGGGAAAGGAAAAAGAGAGACTGACTTCTGAATTTTTTTTTATATTAATAAGAATTTAGATTAGATTTTTCATTTACTAAGCCTGCTGAAGGCCAATATTTTTAATGCTGGACATCCAGTGCCTGCAATTCATACCCATCTAGAATCAAATCTGGCCAATTTATGAGCTGAATGTTAACACCTAAAAATCAGAAATTTTAAAATTATTATAAATTCTAGTATAATCCAAAAATTTCATAATCACCAAAAATTGAGAACTTTTTATACTTTAAAAATCCTTTGTGTATTAGCTTTCTGTTCAGTACACAGTGTTGATGTTTATTACTTCACATGATTTCAATCTGTTTTTTCCTTTTTTTTTTTTTAAAAGAGGATGGACATTTTTATTCTTTATTTTTCAGTTCCAAATTCTCTCTCTCTCTCTGACTCCCCATCCTTTACTCACTGAAAAGCAAAAAAAAAAAAACCCAAAAAAACATTACAAATATGTATGGGCAGCACAACAAATTTCCACATTAGCCATATACACACATATACACATATGACTCACAATCTCCAGAAAAGGCCCCCCCAAAAAAAGACCAAAAATGTACTTCAGTCTACCCTACGAGTCCCATCAGTTCTCTATATGGAGGCTGATAGCATGTTTTATCATAAATCACTTGGAATTGTGATAGATCAATGTGCTGATCAATGCTACTAAAGGTCTTTCAAAGCTGATTATCTTTACAATATTGCTGTTGCTGTATATAATGTTCTCTTGGTTCTGCTCACTTCACTTTGCATCAGTTCATATAAGTCATCCCAGATTTCTTCTGATGCCATCCTCTTCATCATTTCTTGCAGCACAGTAGCTCTCATCTTCCATCATATTCATATACCATAACTTTTGCAGCCATTCCCCAAGTGAGGGGCTTCCTCCCAGTTTCCAATTCTTTGCCCTTATAAAGACAGCTGCTATAAATATCTTTGTAAATATGGGTACTTTTCCTCTTTCTTTGATCTCTTTGAGGTATAGATCTAGCAGTATTACTGGATCAAAGGGTATCCACAACTTAATTAATAGCTTTTAGGGCATCATTCCAAATTGCTTTCCAGAATGGTTAGAGTGTTCACAGTTTCAACAAAAGTATATTAGTGTGCCTGTTTTCCCATATCTCTTCCCGCATTTATCATCTTCACCAATCTGAGAGACATGAGGCGGTCCCTCAGAAATATCAATCAATTAATTCACTTTCACATGATTTCTAATACCAGCACACTGATATTTCTTCCACGAAACAAAATGAATGAGGAAGAAG